TTGGAGTCACCCAACATCCTTCGGATACACAACTCCACTTTCGGAGCTACCCGCATCCTTCGGTGATCTCCCTCACGTTATCACTTATTAGTCATCTTCCATTCTTAGCATGACTACCTTCTTGCTACCATTTAGTTGGCTAACCCCCTTTACCCATTTGTCTTCCCCATTCATTTTCCGGCCTCCAACTCCGCCCTCCTTGGCCCGACACCTCGGTTCCCCGTTTTAGATATCGTTCGGAACCTTTCAGTACCTCTCGGTATCATTTGGTACCTTTCAGTGTTTTCCCCATTTTGTCATTTTGGGCTTTGACTAAAGTCCTCCCCATCCTCCTTTATAAATACACGTAGATTAGAACCTGTAGTTCCTCAGTTCTAATCTCGACTAAAATGCCACCCAAAGTCCCTCTGAGTGAATCCTGTCCCTGTTCTACAAGACACCTCAGACATAAGAAATACAAGGACTAACTGAGACGTAATGGAGGCACAGCACTCCCTCCAAGTCGCTGAGGCCGCGTCCTTCTTAGAGCCTCTTGTACCATCCAGCAGAACCGGGCTCCCTGAGAAGCTTTGGTTCACTACTGGAGCCCTCGGACCCCCCTCTAGTTGAGCCCCGCCTGCATTCGGACTCACACATTTACCCCCTCTTCCATAACCCGGGTTTTTAACAGGATACACGCAAAGCCAGATCCACCAGGAAATCCTAGAGAACCTGGGGAATTTCAAAAACTTCTCCATAAAAGATGGGCTGATAACCCGACTTGGAGAAGGAGGGACGACCCAAATAGTAGTCCCAAAAGGAAACTACAAAAGGAAGTCCATTCAAGGAATAATCCTTGAAAACATCCATGAAACACTTGGACACTAAGGATCCAAGAAAACAGTGGAAACCCTCTGTTGATACTTCTGGTGGAAGTCAATGAGGAAGGACACCCACAAGTTCTGCAGGTCGTGCGGAACTTGTCAGACAACAAAGAAAAGCACCAGGAGAAATCCCGGACTGCTTCACCCACTCCCGACCCCGGAAACACCGTGGTCGTCAATAGCCATGGACTTCACAGGTCCATTCCCAACAAGCTTGGGATATGATTACCTCTGGGTAATCATCTGTAGGTTGATGTCCAACGTCCACCTGATTCCAATAAAAACAACAACAAATGCATTAGAACTAGCGTTCATATTCCTTCGTGAAGTTGTAAGACTTCACGGTCTACCACACTCGATCATATCAGATTGAGACTCGAAATTCATGTCAAAGTTTTGGCACAAACTACACCAAATACTCGGTGTGCAGTTGAAATTCACAACTGCATTCCATCTGCAGGGTGACAGCCAAGCAGAAAGAATGATACAAAAAGTAGTACAGATACTACACATGATGGTCAGACCAGATCAATGTGACTGGGCAGTGAAGCTGTCGATGGCAGAATTCGCAATCAATGCAAGCTCGAACACATCGACAGGATTTGCCCCATTTGAATTAATCTATGGCCACATGCCAAAGATGTGCCTAACAGCACCACCCTCGGACCACCTGGGAGTGAACGACTTCGCCCAAAAGGTGAAGGAAAACCTCATGGCAGCACACAATGCGATAATAGACAATCACACTGCTCAAACAATCCAGGCAAATAAGAAAAGATGCCTGGACCTGCCTTTGAGAAAAGGCGAGCTTGCATACTTATCCATGGTTGAACCTACCCAAAGGAAGGGCAGGCAAACTAAAGCCCCTGTATATAGGGCCTTATGAAATCCTGGAAACATTTCCAGAGACGTCAAACTATGTCCTCAAGTTGCCACCACAACTTGAACAACGTGGAATCCACCTGTTAGATCGGGCAGATTCGGACGACTCTGGAGTGGAATCGGAGACTTAGCATGGAAGGACCTCGGCCTCAGTGACTCATGCAGAGTGCTGTGCCATTGCTGGTTGTCCTAATTTCGGATCTAGCAGAGGGGAAGTCTCTTGGGGGAAATCAAGTCCATTTCGGACTGAGGTTACAAGTTACTATGTACATTGTATATAAGGAGGGGTCCAGAATCAAAAGGAACAAGGGTAGGACGAAAGGAGACAAAGGGAGATGGAAAGAGGAACAACACCGAGGGTCAAGGGTTTGACTCAATGGTGTTTCTCAAAGGAGGAGTGAAGGGCCAAGGCCCAAGGAGGAAGGAAGGAGGATGGGAGTGGGGAATGGCCAGCTGACTGAATAGAAAGGAAGCAGCCCAAATAGGGATGAGGGAGAATAGCAGAATTGAATGGAGCAATGCAATAGTTGCAAGGTCCAATGTAAGTCCGGAAAGTCCGAACTCGGAAGTTAAACTCCGGAATATTGGCAAACATAATTAAATGGAATGAGCTAACCAATACAATGGGTATAAGCGGAGGTGGGGTCAAAGTCCGAGGTCGGAGCTAAGACCAGAGGTTCCAGAGACGGAGACACGAACGGGATTCCAGAGTGGAGGTCCGGAGTCGGGAGCATAGGTGTTGCATGCTCATCTGGAAGGTGTCAAGGTTGAGGTCGGACCCGGAATGTTCCGGAGTCAGACCGAAGGTGGTGTCAGAGCTGGAGGTGGGATAACCTCTTGGGAGTCGGCAAGGAGAAGGTGACGGAAGGGAAGTAGGGCTCTGGAGTCGGTTTTGGAGTTCCAGGAGCCCGGAGCGGAGGATGGGATTGTATGGATATGACAATTGGCCTGGCTGCAGTACGACACGCCCGGACCCGTGGGCGGCCTCTCACACACTGGGTGCTCCTGGGATCTCTTGCAGAGACACCTGGACAGATGTGGCTGTGTGCGCAGATGACATGGCCTTAACTACATGTATATAAACACAGCCTAAGTGGGAACTGAGAAGCAACCTTCTTCTCACACTTCCCACTTTAGCCTAAGTGGCCAGGGACCCTTGTCTGCTTCAGGCCCATTGTTACGCATGCCTGCACTACACCCTACTGGGCCCTCAGCCCTGGGCAATATACCTGGATGCTCTCGACCCCAGGTCGGTCCCTGACAGGTCTGGTCATTCTAGGTTTTTGAGTAGATGATGTATTGGTGCACACTGGAGATTGACATTGGGAGTTGATCCATTTATGATTGAGTCATGGCATTTGAGCAATGACTTGAGGCACAGCCATAATTGATACTTGAATAGTGCTAGGATCGAAGAGGACACAAATATTAGTGGAATTTGCATGACATATGATGAATACTGTTTATGATCTGGACCAACTGTCATATCCATCCACGGCCATCGACTTCCACTACCTCCGAACTCTCCGGATTACCTCCACTCCTTCTTCACTAACCTCAGAGCTCCTATATTCTGCAATCACCTCCGCTTCCCTCGATGGTCACCCCCCCTCTTTTCAATATATTACCTACGCCTCCCTAAGTACAGAGCCCCAAAGGCTTCCGGACAGCTCCGATGTCCACTAGCGCACTCCCACCTCTGCTGGGCAATTCACTCGCTTGCCCTGCAAGCCCACCTTCAGGCCTATCCCTCCTTTCCGTTTCTGGGTTATTGCCTACCATTCCGTTAACCCCATAACCTGACTTGTCAGTAATATTCAATTGGCTAATGTTTAACTCTGTTAGCTCCGCTCCGCTTGGCCCTGCCATTTACAGGCCCGCCCTCGTTGTAACTATATATACTCAACTTGTACATAGGTTGCACCTCAGTAATAAAATCGACTAGAGTTGACCCCCTTTAGTTCTCATTGCCAGTCAGTAAGTTAGGGCATGGACATGTAACTTGGCACAGCACTCCTGGCATAAGTCGCTGAGGCCAAAGCCCTCCACCACAGAGACATTCCTTCATCTCGATCTGGTCTCTGACACCAATGAGTTGAACGATTTGACAATCTAAGTGTGTGCATTGAGTTCCTCTTGAGTGAGCCTAAGCTTTTCTTCCTATGCAAGCGAGCGATAGCACTGCTACTATGCCATGGCAAACTTCCTGATCAATGACAAAGGCAGGTGGTTTTTCATCCAAGGACCAGTTGGAGTTCCATAAGGTCTCCCACATCCTTGCCCATTGTTCATCACTGGGATCCATCTGAAGCAACTCCTTGACATTCATTTTTGTGTGGCTTAGAGAATCTGGGAGCCAGGGTGGTCTCTTGGAATGCTCGAGGTAGTCAACAAGCTTGTTATATTGGCAGACTTGTGTAGAAATGATCTGGGCATGCTCGTTTGCACTACTGAGCACCGAGACCATTTTTGCATATCCTAAAGTATCAGACGAGCTTCAACCACAACATCATTCACCTCATGCATGGAGCATGTACCGACTTTTGTAACTAGTCATCCTCCACGCCATTGTGAGCTGCGAATAGGGTTCATCTCATCCTGATACTTAGCTAGGTGGATAAGAATAGAATGCTTGTGGAACTGAGCCAGAATATACTTCTCGATGTATTCTTTTTCTTTGTCAGATGGGTTTTGCAGAAGTTTCAAATCGGATAAACCAATTTGGGCTGTCAGTTTGTGCAAGTGTGCCTGGGATTCATCATGCAATGATTGTACATGCAGAGCAGCTTGATAATGCTCCTTCAGATCCATAGGCCTATGAGACATCATTCACACCAGGGAGATATGGTCCAGCTCCTTCTTTATGGCATCCAAGGCATCCAAATGTGCCTGAGCCAACTGTTGTCAGGGCAACCACACCTGACCATACAACCCCAGAACCACCTTCCCTGACTTCCCTCCACTTCCCTCATCCTCCCATCTTTACATACCTCTCACAACTACAGCCTGCATGTGAACCCGCAGGAAAAATCACGTGGGTCAAGGTGAGCAACTCGCCTTAACCCATGTGACACCTTTTCTGAATTGTGGGAACATCCTCAGCTTCTACCCATAGTCACATTATGATCTGTACAGTACATTTCCCTTTTATAGCAGCCAAGTGGGGAATAGGGAAACTTACCCTTCTTCTCAACTCAATCCCAGCTTAGGCAAGTTGTAGCTACCTTCCATAATACATGACAACTCAATCCCCACTTAGTGAGTTTGAGGAGCTTGGGATAGGATCCAGCACCTGGCTGCCTGGGATGCTGCAAGTGTCCAGCTCTGAGGTAGGGCCACCCCCAGACAGAGGCTGGGCCCTGACAACTGTTCAGCTTCCAACAATTTGGCAAACTTTTTCATTCCAGCTTGGTCATTGTCTAGAGTACAGAAACGTTGGTTAATACCAAACATGAGGTTGGAAGCGGCATACAGGCTCGAGCGGATAGTTGCAGAGTCTTTTGTGCCTCCCACTGGGATTGAAGGAATTGAGGTGTAAATCCCCTATTCTCCTTTAGTGTTTGAAGGAGATCAGTTGTAAGGGCTTCCTGTTGATGGATGGCACCCATTTTGGACCTTGCCAATGAAGCCAGATGATCTCGGCCCTGGGAGGCAATCAGCTTGATTTTGCTGTTGATAGTTGTTATCCGCTTTGCTGGCTATAGTTATGCAATGACATTTATTAGGTCTCACTGAGATGCAAACAGTGTTAGGCACTGTTGGACTCATGCTCATCATATGTTCAGGCACTATCATGTCTATGATCAAGGACCACAGTCGCTTGTTTCCCTCCCCATTTGACTTGCCAAATCCACTTCGTTTCCATGGGTGGAATGCGATTTGGCAACAGAACTGATGTGCATATGCATGAAAGACCAAAACGGTGATACTCAATCTAGGAGCTATGTTGGGGATAAGATTATACTTTATTCAAACATCAGCTGTTGTATTGCAGGTAGTGTAAAGTTATACCTTAGCAATTGATCGATCGAGAATGCACCCAACTTCATGCATTGATCTGATGGTGGTGTTTGAGGGCAGCTGGTGGCTGCGATGAGCATGGCAATGGAAAAGTGCTGCTGCTTGCCCAGGGTGTCCACATCACAAAGAAAGAGGGGGATATCATGGTGGCAGATGGTAGCCATCAGACCTTTTGAACGGAAGGTATCGGTTTTCGATGCTGACTGTTTTTCATGCTTTGTGGCTCAGTGTGGTTCTCTCAATAGCACCATCCAGCACAAGAGATGAAGGACGAGATCCCGAAGAGCTTCGAGATGCATCTCACACCTCAAAGACATGGCGGGCAGCTTCGCCGACTTCGGCACAGGTCAGGAAACTGCAGGTTTCGTTCCAGGGAAGAATCATCTCTCTGCCAACAAACATATATTGCTTGTGTTGCATATCACCATCCATAGCGACAATGACATCAGGATTCCTGGGGAAGAATTAGTACAAGGCCCATTCTTGAAGCAGAGGTGCGTGGGACGAACTCGTTGACAGGACCACCCCATGTTGAGCCTCTGAAACATTGCGGGCATCTCACACGGAGGTATGGGCTAGCCCTGTTGTGTGAGGGGTTTTGAAACAGCCCTGATCGAGCAAGGGTCAATGACGCAGAGTCAGTTGTTGTTTCTGTGGAGGGCGGTATGTCATCATCACTGGATATCATGCTCTCGGATGTGGTGATTGTGGGGTCCCCGTTATGCGCAGGTAGGTGACGGGTAAGCTCGTGGGGTGTGGAAATAGATAGCGGTGCATCGGACTCCACAGGGTCCGTGGGCAGAAGGAACTCTCTCTCTGTTTCAACCTCTGTCAAGTCACGTAGGGCTTTAAACCATGTTATTGCTTCACTGAGCGAACCTAGAAAAGGATCCTATATGAATAGGAGACCGTGTGCATGTCAACCCCACCTAAATGATGACTAGGTATTACCTTGGCAGAGAATTCATAGCCATTCTCCTGCAATATCGTAAACAGGGCAGCATGAAAGGAGGAGTAAATAAATGTAATAACAACCCCCGGCTGGATGGCGCAAGGGCACGTGAAGAAAATATTTTTTATTTTTGGTCCCAGAGTTTGAATCCGGAGTAAGCTGATCATACTCTGAATTGATATTTAAGTGTTATGGAAAAATGATTTTCAACGTTGCTATAGCCTGTGCCGGTTGCCCAGTGGTTCAGTTGTAGCCTGTCTGTTATGTTGGATGCGGGTGCTTTGGTTCAAGTCCCGCTTGAGGTTATTTTTTGTTGTTGTTGTTGTTTTGTTTTGTTGGTTTGTTGGTTTGTCTGTTTGTTTGTTTATTTTGTTTTGGGCCTCCCCATTCGATACTAAGGTCCTTCTATGACTTTGTGTAAGTATTGCATCGTCATGGTTTAACTTCAACTTGTGAACTGCAGGCAGGCAAAAGAAAGTATAACTCCACTGCAGAGAATCAAACTCCGGCACATTCAATGCTCCAAACATCAAACAACAATTTAGCCACTAGGCAACCAGTGACACCAATACCACAGTGCAAATTTATTTCTCTATAAAGCGTTAATATCAATTCAAACTCGGGGAGTAACGGCCGCACGTGATTCAGGGAGTTAAGGGTCTTCACTCTTCCCCGATATTTTCGTGGTAAAAAATTCTCTAGTTGGTTTCGAAATCAAAAATTCTTTTTTTGATATCTCACGTGCCCTTGCGCCATCCAGCCTGGGGTTGTTATTACATTTACTTGAAAGGAGGTAATTGGTGTAGAGGAGTTCACATTTAAAGCTGAGAATAGCGAAAGAATGTCGAAATGGAAGGCGATTTGAGGCATTACCAGTGACCCAGGGAAGTAGCCACACTGAATGATCCCAAGCGGGAGGGTATTGGATGGACATTTGCAATATTCGAATGTACGCCGCACAGCATCTACACTGAGGTCAATGGGACATGGTGAACGAGGTCAAGATGCAAACATACTCGTGAACGCAATCGTCATTACAGAATGAAACCGGAGAGGCATGTTGCAACGAGAGCACAGGGTCATCGCAAGTGTATGCAGTTGTCCGTTCTGTTCGAACGACGTTTCGTCGGGGGCGGCAAGGGGCACGCGTCCTGCCTTCTTTGCCTCCAGATCTAAATATATTTCCACTGCCTTATATATTACATCCTGGCGCCAATGGAGCCACGCGGCATTCTTTTGTGGATTTCGCACTGCCCTCTTGGCTAGTTTTCGGGAAATCGAGGGCGATGGTATGTTCGGTATCGGTTCCCACACAAAGCTTGATCAGATCCAATGCCGGTACATATTCAAGTTGTTGGAAAGCGATCTGAAACATGTATTAATGTCCTCAATCGATTTCGCAACCAACCAAAAGCAGTTCAACTAGTTATTTACAATTAATACACTTCTCTGATCCGAGACTGAGCATACGTGACATAGCCCTTATTTTGAAGAGTTGGTCACTCCACCATCCCAAACCCAACCTTCGCACACGTATGAGGGGCACCGGCGCACTTCGAAGTAAATTGCTGCCCAAGGTGAGACACATGTCGCAAAATGCGCATACCAGACACCTGAAGGTCCTGAATAAACTGGGTGGCACTCTCCGCTTGTTCCATTATCGTCGAACCACCTGTCAAGCCCATAGGCAATCGTAACGGAAACATTGCAAATTATAGCGCTCAGGGGTGAACCGAGGGGGATGATCGGCGTGGGGAACCCGGACACCTGGTCATTTGCCTCCAGGCAACCAGCTGTTGGGGGAAATATTCATTAAACCGGAGAAGATTTCATTTCTGACTTCGGTTCACCATTCTGCCCTGGGAGGATAACCCAATGCAATGAAGCATGGCCGGATGATGAAGCAAGGCCGAATGGTTTTTTACTTGAGTAAGCAGCTAGTCCAAAGTGGAGCTCAGCCATGACAATCGGAAGTAGAGCGATTGGAACCAAGGTATTCCAGAATCGCATTGTTAAGGTCAGCCGACTGCTACAGATAATGTCTGTTGCATAAATAGATATATCAGCCACATGAATCAAGAAGTTCTAACCTCGATCTCGAGCGAAACGCCTAGAGGACTAAGGAGAAACAGGGGGGGGGGCATCCTTCAGAGGCTTTATAGGAGATTCCGGTATCTTCTCAGTCTTCGAAGAGTGAAAACAATCCTCCGAACTGTTCTTGCTCGCTGCCACATCATTAATATTGCCGAAATACCTGCCAGTTGAGACATGTAGTGGCCTCACATGTGGAGGTGCTTATAATAGGCCCGATACATTCAACCAGGAATAAGGTGTTTTAAAAGGAAATTTCCTCGGGGCGCGCAATCAGTATACAACACTGCTCAATTCCGGCAGGACAATGTAGCGCATACAGGGGTAAGCAGTTGGTAGCAGTTATCAGGGTGGGGTTTAAAATGAGAGTGATCGAACTTTCCCACGCAGATTGTATCTTGTTAGTTGATGGCAAATACACGTCGCTTGCGGTCGCGAGCACATATGTCTCATCTCCTATTCAACTGCAACAACCGTTTGCAACACATCCCGATAACCATCTTCCACTCTCCAAACATTGAATGAGTACCGGAATCTCGTATAAAGCCTATTGAAGAATGGTTCCCCCGTTTTCTCCTCAGCCCTCTAGGTGTTCCACTCGAGACCAAGGCTCGAACTTTTTAGCCAACATACTTATCACGCCACATACATTACTTGTATAAGTAGTATTGGCCGACCCTCGCAATGCGATTCTGGGACACCTTAATTCTCATCACTCTACTTCCGATTATCATAGTGGCTGATTTCCACATCGGAATAGGCGCTTGGACAGACCACATGGGCAGCTTTACTGGTGCCGGCAAGGCTGAACTGCATTTGGCTATCCTCCTATCAGACCACAGTAAACCGTCGCCGGAAATGAACTTTCCTCGGGTCTAACAAATGTGTTTCCCAACAGATGGTTGCCGTCAGGCAAATCACATGGGCTCTGACTTCCCCATAGTCAGCCTCGGGTCACCACTGATCATTGTGCTTTGCGGTGTGGTGATCACAATTCCCGATAAACTCGACCGCTGGAACTCCTCGGACGGAGCAAGTGGACTGTGTTACCCAACTTCAGATGGTGTCAGTGCGCATTTTATGACGTGCGGAGCATTTACGATGGCTATTTACCTCGATTCGCGCTGGTGTGCGGGATTCGTGTGCAAAAGCAATTAACCAAGAAAACTTCATTGTTCCAGCCTGACACTTGGTGTAAGCCAAAAACAAAATAATGCTTGAAATGATCATTACCATTTCCAACAGACTATCGGACACCACAGACACCCTGGTAGAAGGCCTTGTTAGGTACCCAAATTGAACTTTCGATCTCCAGCCTAACAGGCCTAAATGCCAATGCCTATGAACGTTCTGAGGCTCGTTGAACTTTCTCTTTTGTATTGATTTGAATATGTAAAACATTCATCACAAACACTTAGAACATTCTCTGACTGTACAGAACATTTGAAGGGTTGCTTACTATTTTGGGGACGGTAACGTTCCATTCCCCTGTTTGCCTCAGGCCTCAGTAGGTCTGTCTAAACATAAGCTTTGATGGGCTGTATATTCAACAGAGTAGAGGTAAAAGGCTACCGGGCCTTTACAACTACTCCGAGGTATATATGTGTAAATTACATATCTCAGCACAAATAAATAAAGAAATAACAGCATCGCTATAATGGGAATTATAGCAATGCAACATAATATAAATATCACTATAATTGGAATTATTGTCAGAGACCGGATGCGAGATGAAGGATACATCTCCATGGCAGAGGGCTTCAGCCTCAGTGACTCAGACCAGGAGCGCTGTGCCAAGTTACACGTCCATGCCCTAATTTACTTACTGGCAGTGAGAACTAAAAGGGGGATTAACTCTAGTCAATTTTATCACTAGGGTGTAACCTATCTACAAGTTAAGTATATATAGGTACATAGAGGGTGGGCCCATGAATGACAGGGCTGAGCAGGGTGGAGCTAATGGAGTTACATGTTAGCCGACTGAATATTACCGATGAGTCGGGTTATGGGGTTAGCGGAGTGGTGGGCTATAACCCAGAAACAGAAAGGAGGGATCAGCCCGAAGCTGGGCTTGCAGGGAAAACAACTAAGTTGCCCAGCAGAGGTGGGAGTGCACTAGTGGACATCAGAGCTGTCCGGAGGCCTTCGGGGCTCCATACTTAGGGAGGCATAGGTAATATATTGATTGAATTGAGGGGGTGGTGACCATTGGGGGAGTCGGAGGTAGTTGTGGAATCCGGCGGCTCCGAGGTTGGTGACGAAGGAGCAGAGGTGATCCGGAGGGACCGGAGGTAGTGGGAGGTGATGGCTGTGGATGGATATGACAATTATAGTGAAGTAAGGTTAATCCCTTACAACATTCAACAATGTTGGAGAGCAGGTGCATAGCATGTATTCACTCCTATTCACACCGAAAATAGATCTATAGAGTCAACAGCCATCCCAACTTCAGGGGAAAAGTGTTATGGTTAAGCCATAACCCCGGACAGACTTGATGGATGTCTCACATGTCTTGCCTATTTCAGTTCTGTCTCAATTCATGTAGCTTTGCGACTACCTGTATGACTTGGATGTCTCTCTTGTTTCATCTCACATGTGTTAGCCTGTTTTCATGTATATAAGCAGTTGACCAGTGAAGACAGATTCTTCAACTGGTCAACACAGGTCACCAACCTGAATTGACTTCTTGTGATCTTGTGACTTGTGACTTGTGACTTGTGGTCTTCTTGCTTGTGACCTCGCTTCTCGTGATCTCACAACTCTTGCTCCACTCTGCTCCATTCTCATGCTCTTAGTGCTGAGAGGTTTGTGTGAGTGTGAGGTCTCAGTGGGGTTGCTCAGCACACAAGGCCATAAGTGATATGATGGTATGTATTTTACAGTGTGTGTAAGCGGTTAACAGAAGTTCCTGCTTACCCACATGACTTTATGTACATCGTAATTACATATGGCTCAGGGTTCAGGGCTATTGCCCTGACAGTGAGATCTTGTGGGTTGCTCAGCACACCAATTCATAAGTGTTACAAAAGTGTGTATTTTACAGTAGTGTTAAGCGGTAACTGGAAGTTGCCGCTTAACCATGTGACTCTAAGTACACCTTTGTTACATAAGACTCGGGGTTTGGGGCTATTGCCCTGACATTCTCCCCCTTTGCATTGCATATGCAATGCATACATGGTTAAGAAAAGAAAGGAATTCAAAGTAGAAGCATTTTTCAATGAAAGTTTGTTATCACCACTTTAAAGTGGGTGATGTGTACATTTAGGAAAAGAATGAGAAATAAGAAAAGGAGTAAGGAGTAAGGAGTGTGGGGCCGTTACTTTGAAGTAAACAGCAATACATGGATATTGCAGGAAAAGGGGATGGGAGGGAAATAGAAGGAGAAAGTTTCAAAAATAGATTTCGACCCAAAGATGATATATCTTTAGTATTCCTCCTCACTGGTTCTGTGAGGAGTCGTGTGTAATTGGTGTTTACACATGGGCGGTGGTGGAGGTGGGTTAGATGGAGTAGAAGTTTCCACAATTGTTACATTCCTCACACACAATTTTGTGTGTGGGGCCTCGAGTTGGAGGAAGGTGTTTTCATGGGTGCCTCAATGGCATATTACCATGTCACTTTCCCCTTCTTCAAGGGCGGAGTTATTGCCCTGGAGGAGGGTTTTCCTCTGGGTTGTTCATCTGGACATCTGATTGCTGTGTTGGATGCAATGATGTAGCCTGGGCTATGTTGTCAAGCTGTGGACTTGACAAAGTGGGTGCTCCCTGGGTGGGAGCGGGTTGTTGTGTCCCTGAGCCACTTGGCTCAGGTATAGAGTACAGTAAGTTTACTGTTCTTCCTGTGGGGAAGGATGGTTGCTGGCTCGTCTGTCCAGCACAGAGACTTGTGTCTCTCTCCCGGTATTTGGAAGCTTTTGTGGCACATTCCTCAGGAGTCCTGAGTGGTTTGAACTGGGACTTCACATAGGCAGCTTTGCCTAGTCTTTCCCAGGAGATGTTTCCCCTGTTCTCAGGGGAGTTGTAATCCTCTGTGAGTTTTGTGATACTTGGGAGTTCCAAGAAATATTTCTTGGTTTCCTTTGCTTTTTTTGCAAAGGTCTTTATGTACCTTGCCACTTTTAAAGGCAGCTTCAGCCTGTTTGTACCAGTGTATGAATGCTTTTCCATTCATGCTTGTCCACCAAGCATATGCGGCATTTTGCGCCACTTCTGACCCTGCTGTTCTCCTCATGGGGAAATTGGGGTCAATTATTATGTTGACAGGAGCGTCGACTTTGCCGAACTCATTGAGTTCAGCAGTCTCGTATAACATATGGACACTTCCCTGCAGGGTAGCTTGCCCATAGGGTGCTGAGGTACTCAGTGGCCTGCTGCCTCTACAGTGGTCCCTGCTTGGGGGTCTGCTGTCGGTTGCCTACTGCTCTCCCTCTTCCCCTCGACATGAGTTTGCCCTCCTGAGGGGGGGCCCTTATGCAACCTGGACAGGATCGCCTGCCCACAGGGTGGCAGGATAGTTGGTGCCCTGCCCCACGGTGCACTAGTCCCCACTGTCATATCCATCCATGGCCATCACCCTCTACCACCTCCGGTCCTTCTGGATCACCTTCGCTCCTTCGTCACTAACCTTGGAGCCTCCAGATTCCGCAATCCCCTCTGACTCCCCTGATGGTCACCACCCCCTCAATTCAATATATTACCTATGCCTCCCTAAGTATGGAGCCCCAAAGGCCTCCAGACAGCTCCGACATCCGCTAGCACACCCCTGCCTCCACTGGGCAATTTAGTTGCCTTCCCTGCAAGTGTACCTTCGGGTCGATCCCTCCTTTCCGTTTCTGGGTTATAGCCCATCTGTGAGGTCTCAGTGGGGTTGCTCAGCACACAGAGCTGTAAGTGATATGATGGTGTGTATATTATGGTGTGTAAGCGGTTCACGGAAGTTCCTGCTTACCCACGTGACTATATGTACATTGTGCTTACATATGGCTTGGGGTTCGTGTTAGAACAGGTGGATTCGGACGACTCTGGAGTGGAATCGGAGACTTAGCGTGGAAGGACCTTGGCCTCAGCGACTCATGCGGAGCGCTGTGCCATTGCTGGTTGTCCTAGGGGTCCCTAATTTTGGATCTAGCAGAGAGGAAGTCTCTTGGGGGAATTCAAGTCGATTTCGGACTGAGGTTACAAGTTACTATGTACATTGTATATAAGGAGGGGTCCGGAATCAAAAGGAGCAAGGGTACTCCGAAAGCAGACAAAGGGAGCTGGAAGGAGGAACAACACCGAGGGTCAAGTGTTTGACTCAATGGTGTTTCCCAAAGGAGGAGTGAAGGGCCAAGGCCCAAGGAGGAAGGAAGGAGGATGGGAGTGGGGAATGGCCAGCTGACTGAATAGAAAGGAAGCAGCAGCCCAAATAGGAATGAGGGAGAATAGCGGAATTGAATGGAGCAATGCAATAGTTGCAAGGTCCGACGTAAGTCCGGAAAGTCCGAACTCGGAAGTTAAACTCCGGAATATTGGCAAACATAATTAAATGGAATGAGCTAACCAATACAATGGGTATAAGCGGAGGTGGGGTCAAAGTCCGAGGTCGGAGCTAAGACCGGAGGTTCCGGAGATGGAGACGCGAATGGGATTCCGGAGTGGAGGTCCGGAGTCGGGAGCATAGGTGTTGCATGCTCATCTGGAAGGTGTCGAGGATGAGGTCGGACCCGGAATGTTCCGGAGTCGGACCGAAGGTGGTGTTGGAGCCGGAGGTGGGATAACCTCTTGGAAGTCGGCAAGGAGGAGGTGGCAGAAGGGAAGTAGGACTCTGGAAGTCAGGTTCGGAGTTCCGGGAGCCTGGAGCAGAGGTCGGGATTGTATGGATATGACAGTTCGGGGCTATTGCCCTGACACCATCACTCCACTAACCCCATAACCTGACTTGTTGGTAATATTCAGTCGGCTAACCTGTAGCTCCATTAGCTCCACTCTGCTTGGCCCTGCCATTCACAGGCCCACCCTCTATGTAACTACATTGTAGATAGGTTACACCTTAGTGATAAAATCGACTAGAGTTTCCCCCTCTTCTAGTTTCCTTGCCAGTTAGTAAATTAGGGCACAGACATGTAACTAGGCACAGCGCTCCTGGTTTAGTTGCTGAGGGCAAAGCCCTCCACCATGGGGACGTCGTCTTCATCCCAG